GGGGAAGTCAACTCTTAGCAGTCTCCAAGGTTACTTCCCTGCAAACACTAAGCTAAAAGATTTGAGGTTTCCTTGCTTCCCTCCTCCATTCATTAGAATCATCACTCACTCTCTGCTTGCCTTTTGTCCCAGAAGAAGAGATATCCTTGCTTCTCATTAGAGCTAATACCTCTACCTGTACCCTTGATCCTATTCTCTTTTTCCTTCTCTAGAAACTTGCTCCATCATTCATTCCCCCTCTCTCTTTACAGCCTCTTCTCTATTGGATCCTTCCCGTTTATCTGTAAAACATACTCTTGCTCTCCTGAAAAAAAGAAAAAAAGAAAAACTTACCCTGGTCCTTTGAGCACATCCACCTATCATTCTACTTTTCCTCTTCGTTACCAAATTTATTGAAAAGGTCTCAACATGATATGTCTACTTCTTCACTACTCATTCTCTCCTGAGTCATTTGGTTTCTAGCTTTCATTCAAACCAATTAGCTAAGATTATCAATGTCCTTCTAATCACCAAATTCAATGGCTTTTTTCTTAGTACTCATCCTCCATAAAGAATTGGGAATGAATGCTACCCAAAAGACAATGGAAAAGTAAATGCTAAATGTGAACATGACTGAGCAAATTATAAAGAAATACAAGGGAGAATACAAGTAAAGGAATAGATGGGGATGGGGGTGAGAAATGACCTGGACATGTGGCAAGAACACAGGTCAAATGATGGATTGGCTATTTGCTCTACTGGTATCCTCACAATTTCAAGAGAAATCAAGGCTCTAGCAGCATGCTGAGGGACTGCCTAAAGTAAGTTCATAGGAGGACATGACCAAGAATAGGAGGGGATGGGGCAAGGATAGATGGGTCACAATCTACATCTTTGGAGGGAACAGATGACAGACTCATTTGAGTACTAAGTATCCTCCTTGACTTCTCTAGCATTGGACAGTGTTGCCCACTCCTTAACAGATACTCTTTCCTCTCTTGACTTAGAGATTCCATATTCACCCTGTTCTCTTCATACCATTCTAACCTTCCTACTCATACCATTCTTCCTTCCTACTCATACCTCTAGGGTGGCATCTCTATTCTTTCTCTCCAGATACTCTTCTCGTTTAATGATTTCATCAGCTCCCATGTGCTCAATAATCAATTCAATGCAAATAATACCTAGATCTATATATTCAAAATGACCAATAAGAAGTTGGCATTTGGAATTAAATGTCTAGTAGGCATCTCAATCTCAACATATCCAATACAGAACTCATTCTTTTACCTCTAAAACTTGATTTAACTATGCTGGCTTCTTGGCGTTTTCTTTATATACAACACCCCTCTCTCATTGCCATGTTTTTTACCTGTGTCTAGAATATTCTGCCTTCTTTCCCTCCACCTCCATCCCTGGATTTCTTTGTAACATGTGTTAAATGTCACCTTCTGAAGATGGCCTTTACTGAGTCCTGGGGTGTATGGAGTGATCAAGAAGGACTAGCACCTCTGGTGTGAGGACTTGCCTTCTTAGGGCTGTTCTCTTTGGTGTCCACCTGGAACTCAATTCTTACCTGTGACTTCAAGAAGCTATAGCACAAACAATAGTCACACCAGAGTAAAAAACTATTTTGGCAGATTGGATAAACCAGGTTGAGGATAACTGACCGGCCTCAAACCCATCGATGAATTAGGGGGATGTTTACCCCATGCGTGTGAAGACCTCCCTCAGCAGAATGGGCAAATGAGAACAATTTGCTCCAACTGCTATGAAATTGGCTGAAACAGATACTGTGGAGCACTTAGAGCCTGGTTAGACATTGAAGACACCAAGGTCATCCATGGCATCCTGGGCCATCATCAGTCATCTTCATTTTTGTCTTGTCACTGGACTTCAATGACTCTGGAAGAGAAAGTGAGGCTGATGACTTTATGCAACTCTGCCTCACTCAAATCCATTTCATTAATAAGTCAAGGCATTACCCTGTGATGTCACTGGTCTCTTCAAAAATGAAGGATGAATAATAGTGCCATCCCTCTAAGATTACTGTCTATTCACTTTGTATATGTATTTTGTACATACGTAATTATTTATATGGGTCTTCTCTACTAGAATTTAAGTTCTGTAAGGGCTAGACTGTTGGATATTTTTGTTTTTGTTTTTGCCTTTCTCTGTATGCTTAGTACTTAGCAGAGCCAGGCACATAGTAAAGAGGCATGATTAATTATAGACCTCTTACTGTGAGTCTTCCCTAAAGGCCTACCTTTCTCATCTCTCTGTTTCTTCCTCTCTTATTCTCTGTGCCTTTGTCTTTCTATGTCTCTTTCTCTGTGTCTCTGTCTCTTTGTGTGTCTGTCTCTGTATCTCTGTCTGTCTGTCTGTCTCTTTCTCTCTCAGCAATGTCATTCACTCCTATGGTTTAAAGTACTGTCTTTAAGCAAATAAATCCCAAATCTGTATCTCCTGTCCTGGCTTCTCTTTTGAGCTCCAGTTGCCTATAAGTGAGCTTTATTTGGATGTCCCTCCAACACTGAAAAATCAACCAAAACCAAGCTTATCATGTTTCTCTCACACAGTCTTCTGCTTCTGATTTGTTGAATCTTATCTGTGGCATCACTAGCTTCTGGGTTCAAAATATTCAGTTTATCTTTGGCCTTTCCCTCTCCCTCTCTTTTTATATCCAGTCAGTTTTTTAAAAATCCCTGTTTATTCTTTTATTCTACCTATTTCTTCTTCTTTATTCTGAATGCAAACATCCAGTATAGGCCCTTTTTATTACCCACCTAATAGCCTTCTAATATATCTTCCCACTTCCACTATCTCTTCCCTCTAATCTTTCATACTGCTATGACAATTTCCCTTATACAAAGACCTATTCGTTTCAGCCTTATGCTGAAAAATCCTTATTGTCTAATAAGTAAAGTTTATATGCTTTTGTTTGCCTTCTAGGCCTTTTATCATCTCTGGCTTTTCTTATTTTCCAACTTTATCCAATATTACTTCCCTCCATATACTCTATGCCCCAGCCAAACTACCTCACCCCAAAATATACCATGTCCTTTCTAGTTCCACACCTTTGTACATGCTATCCCCTATGTCTGTTATGCTCTCTATCTCCCTTTTTATCTATTTACTACCCATCCTTAAAAGACCAATTCAAATGTCTCCTCCAGAAGTCTTCTCAGAATAGCCATCAGAAAGACATTTCTCCTCAGTCTTCACAGAGTGCTTTGTTTTGTATCTCTCTTGTGAACTAATCATGTAACTTGGCATGTTCTACTTTTGTGCCATGCCCCTACTAGACTCTAAACTCCATGAATGTAAGGACTGCTTTACCTAACTGTATTTCCTCTGGTGCTTAGCTTAGTATAGTACCTTCTCAGCACACAGGAGATACCTATTCCTTGAATAATTGAATAAGTATAGGATTCCATCTATGATAAGAAGAGGGGGGGAATGACAAAAACAATAACAGCATGAATACAGAAGCAAATTTCATAGAGCTGCTTTCAGACCTCTAGCAATGGAATAGAAAATTTAAAAGAAGAATTGAGATCCTGAGTTTAGTTAAAATGTTATTAAGACAGAGTCAGAGGGGCTGGACTTCAGAGCTGTAGCGCTTGGAATAAGGATAGGTAAGTGGGAGGAAAAAAACAAAAATAAAAAACTTGCTGTCTGGGTTTGGAGAATGCTAAACATACTGTAGACTACTTGCCACTACTTGTTATCTAGACCTTAAAAATAGAATAAAGAGGCCATAAGTTAGTGAGTAGAGGGAGGACTATGATGGTAAAGGCAGCTTTCTTCTTTATCTCATCATATGCTGCTGGGTAAGTTTTTCTTGGGGTTGGTAGAGGCTAAGTTGTTGGAAAGGGCACTTCCAGCTGTCTCCTGCATTTTATAACAAAGACCACTGTCAGAGGCAGGGTTCCAAAGCCCCTTCTGATAAACTGAAGCATCTTTATTTTAGTATTCTCAAGGATAATTCAGATGGAGGAGGGCTGCGTTGTTGGAGAAACAGAGAGACACAGACACCCTCAGCAAAGTGCCTGGCACGTAGCAGGCTATTAATGGGGAGTCGGGGGAGAGGGGAAGAGAAGAGGAAGGGAATAAGCATTTATTATAGCTCATATTATGTGTCAGGCACTGTGCTAAGCTATATACAAATACTATCTCATTTGATCTGCACAGCAACCCTGAGAGGTAGGTACTGTTATTATCTCCATTTTACAGCGGAAGAAACGGAGGCAAGCAGAGGTTGTGACTTGCCCAGCGTCACACAGCTAGAAAGCCTGCTGATTTGACGTTGAAAAGAGACAATTAGAGATGGAGGTCTTTTTTCCTTTTCTGTTGCTGTCAGAGGACAGTAAAGCGGGAGAAGAAACTAAGTCGTATCTAGAAAGCTGTAAAAACTGACGAGTTCAGCCAGAGAGAAACACTGATTTCTTAAGCTGTATGCTCCCAACGAAGGCTTGTGAGTGTGTGTGTGTGTGTGTGTGTGTGTGTGTGTGTGTGTGTGTGAATGCGTGCGAAGCTTCCCCTGTAGCCCATCAGAGCTCAATATGGCTAAATCTTTCCTACTCCACCCCTATCCGAAGCCTCCCCATTATCAAGCCCCTCTCCTTCCAAATCTGCATCTAGAAGTCTGTCCCACATGATGCACACGGAAATTTTTTTTTTCCCACGCTGCCTGTTGCAGAAAGGCTGCCTGCCCTTCAACCCTGCACACCTGAGAGAGGCCTGGGGGAATGAAGCGTCCCTAGACCTGCCAGCACAGTAACATGCCAGACCGGCCCCAGTCCTCCACCCGGGCCATTTAAGGGAGAGGCAGCGGCCTTTGCAGCTCGACTCCGGGGGGCTGCAGAGATCTCGCTTTCACTCCCCCTGCAGAGCCTGAGCAGGGAAGGGGGCGGGGCGGGGAGACATTTCGCTCAATGAGGAAAGTGGGTGGGGGACCGAGGCTGTGGCCAGAGGCCAATGGGCGAGGGGGGGCGGGACGTTGGCGGTGTTGAGGCGGGGCTCGAGCCCCGGTGGTGGCGGCTGGGCCACTGGGCAGAGTCGGGGAGCTGCAGCCTGGTCTGGTCTGGGGTGTCGGGTGGCTCCAGAGGACTAGGAGGAGGAGGAGGAGGCGCCGCTGCTCCTGTAGCTGCTTTCCCCCTTGGGTAAGTGGGCACGGCGCGGCCCTCGAGGGCGGCGGCAGGTCCGGCCCGAGGTTGCGTCTCCTCGACTGGGAACGTCCGGTTGGGGGGACGAGACGGGGTGCTGTTTAGAGAGCTCCAAGGTTCTATCTCCAGGTGTCCCCTCCTGGGGGTGCCCCCCCTTCATGCACCGTGCATGCACACCTCGCACCCGCTCCCGACCGAGCACCGCCTGCACCCTTCGCCTTGGCACCTGCGCCAGCTCGAGGATGGTGCATTGGCCAACCCTGCTGACTGAGCTGAGGCTGCGTATTTGCGGGGGGAAGATGTGCCACGGGGTCCCTGTTACCGCAGGCAAGGAGATTGGGGTGAAGTGGGTGAAGTGTTGATGAGCGAGGTCTTTTTCTGGAGCATCGGCCGCCAAGATGGGCCTGAACACTGCACCTGAACCCGTCTGTGCTCCGAGAGCACCTTCAGTCCCCAAGGGGCTCGAGTACCCAGAACTAGGAGCGATGGCATTATCGCCCATCACCCTTAAGGCTGAGGCGCCTTATCTAAAGAAGCTGCAGCTTCCTTGGAGCAGCTTGACGGATGCAGTCTTGGAAGGTCCAGATGCTGGGGTTCTACATATCCTTTCTTCTCTTCCTCACCTCCCCCACTCCTCAACCTGACAGAGACCCTGTTTCATCCTTCAAATAGGGCCCCAGCCAGGCTTTCCTTCTTGAGCCAGAAAAGGTGGTGGTGTAGACCGGGAGATTAGGACAGCTAAAGGCTCCTGAGCTGGAGATTGGGGGTGAGGGCGAGCACAGATTGAAGGGGGTGTGTGGATGGACTGACAGTGGGTACTCTGGTGTTCCCTGTATGGCCAGGGGAAGGGATTAGGGATGTTTGGAGTGAGAGAACTTGAGGGAATTCACGGTTCCTTCGGGCCTAGCCGTCTATTCTTGGGGAATTAAATAATTAAAAATCAAATGAAGCTCCATCCCTTTAGGCCTTCTAATCCTTTCTGGGTCTTTCTTCCCATCTTTATGCAAATGCAATTCAGTCTTGGTGTAGGCACTTCCCTTTATTGTCCCTATCTCATGAAATAATTCTGCTCATAAAAATCCTTCGGTAGCTGCTTATAATGGATAAGCAATAAAAGCGTTTTCTCCCATTCCAGGCTATATTCCAAAGTTAAAACATAACTGTCAATCAATTAGCAAAAGTTGATTGCTCTTCCTCTAAGAGACAGATGCTAGGTCGAGTTAAATAGCCTAAGGATTTGAGAGCCTAAAGTTCTTCTGAATGACAAAAATGGGTCATTTTGTGTCCTTGTGGCCTCGGGATGAATGGGGATCTTTTGGCCTATTTTGTGAAGGTTCACTTTGTGAAAAGAGACTTTCCACAAGCTTCAATGAATTTGCTCTAGAGCAAACTGTTTTCCCTTCCCACACCAGAATTATTATTCACAGTGTTGATGGAATCGATTTTATCATATGCAAATCACTAAGTTTTCCGCTGAAGAAGTCTTTGATTTATCTCAACTTATTGTTTCCACATAAATCTGTGAGCAAAATTCAGTGTGTGCTACCCAAGAAAATTTTTTTACAGGACTTCCAAAACAAAGAGTAAAATTTGAGCATTTCTATGTCATTAAAAAGCTTCTCTCTTATACTGAAAACTGATGATTAAAAAAAAAGAGGCTAAGAATTCTGCATCTTCATTTACATTTTAAGCCTTTAAAATCTGGTCAAAGTACACTATTACATAACTGTTATGTTTGCATTTGCTTCTATTTTAATTGTCTTTTTGGTATACATTTTTTGTGGTTAAAGGTATTTCAAAATAAGTTACAGCTGACATTCAGTCATTTAACATTTTCCCAGTGCCTAATTTGTCCAAGGCACTGTGCTAAGTGAGCACCATGGGGATGCAAAGAAAAATAACACGAGCCCTATCTTCAAAGAGCTTGTAATATAGTGGAGAAAGAAGATCTGTACAGAGATAACTGTAAGGTGCCGCAGTGTGAGAAAGATGCCATAAGAGGAGATCTGGGGAGGGAGAAATCACACCCAGCCGATTGTGTGGATGGGGAATAAGGAAAGGCAACATAGAATCTCAGATCACGGATCATGGAATACTTGGTGTTTGACTAGAGTCTTGAAAGAAGGGCAGGATTTCAACAGGCAGTAATGAGAAGGAATGCCATGAATTCATTAAAGGATATAAATTTTATCTGACATGTGGTTTGTTGGTGATCCACCACTCTGACTGCTAATAACGCAATGAATGATGCACCACTTTTGTCTTCTTAAAACCTGTGGATTTTTCTGTGCACATTTCTCAAACATTAAATTACCAAATATTCATTGGAAGCTAGTCTGTGTTATCCAAAGAAATAATATTGATTTCATTTTTGTTTCTTCCTCTGTCGAAAGATAAAGACCTCCTTGAATGCTTTGTATATTTTCCCCCTTTTCTTTTTGTTTTCAGGAAGGCTTTACTGCAGTAGCCACATAAGCCGCATAGGTGCAGGTTTTCCTACATGCTGTGGCTATGTACTGTCTTCTATCGCCTTAGAGCAGACAACACCCTTCAGTGGAAGAGGCAATTAAAATGGAGAGCATCTTCAGGGCAGAGACTGTGGGACTTAACAATTATACCTAATCATAGCCAATGATTTTGATGTGTGACATGATGTCGTTCCCAAAAGGATCAGACACAGAAGATTTCATTTAGTCTATTCCAGATAGATTGAAGCATAGGTCTGGAGGGCAGGCAGTATTGTTGCATCTTGATATGTTTAATTTGTGCCTTCACTCCCATAAACACTTCATCCCCCAAATCCTGGACGTTGTTATATTTATAGAGAAAATTATACAAGTGTATAATTATATATAAATTATATACATTTTATATAAATGTACATTTTTGTATATTGAAAATCACTGTTTAACTGTACCCGATAATAAATGATCCTGGACAGCTTTCATTTACTATATTAACTGGAGGTATTACTGGGGAAGCTACATTGTTTTTATAACAGCCCCAGCAAATTGGTCATGTAAAATTGGCAAGGCAACACTAGCCACCTGTGTCACCACCAGGGAGTGCCACCAATCAGAGGAAACAAGGCCCATTGAGAAAGCTTGCCTTAAGGAATTCTTTAATGGGACCTCTGAGCATCACTTGAGATGTATTTAAGTAGGGGAAAGGGTTCGTTTAGAAGATGATCAAACTAGGAGAGGCAATTAAATTCAGTTTCGATTCAGTTTTATTAGAGGTTCTAATGTGTTACAAAGAATGATGCGGATATAGAGATGGAAATTCAAGGAGATACAAAGATGATACAAAGATGAAAAATTTAAAAATCCCTGCCTGCAAGGAACTTGCATCTCAGGGGGATAAAACATATGCATAGATAAGTAAGTAACAAGTAATTTGAGGAGGGGAATAGCTCCAATGGGGGGGTGGGATGACACAAAGGGAGCTTAGAAAAAGTTTACAGAGGAGGTGATTAAAGAGCTAAACTTTGAAAGGTATGGTACAATTTTAAGAGACTGCTACTATATTTGGAGTCAGGAGAAGTGGGTTCTGGACCCAACTCTGCTGCTTTTTAAAATTTATGTCATCTTAAACAAGTTATTCAGTTTTTCTGAGACTCACTTTCTCACCCACAAAATGAAGAAGTTAGCCTGAATGATGTCTAAAGTCTCTTCCAGCTTTGACATTCTATGATTATAGAATCAGAAACAATAAAAAGATGTTTATATGTATCTTTAGTCAGAGATTGTGAAAGTAATTTATTCTTGGGATAGTTTTGTTTTTTTTCTTTTTGACAACCAAAAACCAAATCTGTTATTTTAAAAAGAATTGTTCTAAGCATATAACAATTTGTCCATTTCTAGAGTTATATAACAGGCTAACTGATTTCTTGGTTTCTATGTAAAATATTTCTTTCTTTCAAATGATTTCACATCCAATCCACTAAACTTTTACTGTACTAGGTACTTAAATTGTGCTAGCTTTTGGGCATACAAAGACAAAAGGAAGAACAATCCTTGCCCTCTAGGAGTTCCATTCTACTCCTATAATAAAATCATTCAAAAGATATCTGAGTACCTGGTTTCCTTGTTCTTAAGAAGCTGATAATCTAGTTGAGGAGAAAAGAGAAACACATTGGAAAAAAATAGCAATTCAAGATAGTATGTCCCAGATACTGAGACAGGTACTTATAATAGGAGTTTGGAACAGGTAAAGAACATGGAAATCAATTTCCTTAGACTTTTTTTTTGAGGCAGTTGGGGTTAAGTGACATTCCTAGGGTCACACAACTAGTAAATATCGGAGACCAGACTGAGAGTTGGGTCATCTTGACTCCAGGGCTGGTGCTCTGTCCACTGCACCACTTAGCTGCCCCAGTTTCCTTAGATTTTAGTGACTATATTACTCATGGGCTCTATCTTAGCTTCTAAAATTGATAACCATGACTGATATCATAAATTATAGACTGATATTTAATTTTTAAATGCTCAGATAGGACCTTTCTTTTGAGCAAGAATATAACATACTTCAATATAATGAACATGGGGGGGAGGATAGAAAGGGGGAAGAAAATTTAGTTTTTACTATTCTATATATTCTGTTCTTGCCTAATGGCTATATAGCCTAAGCCTCTCTTTTTACCATTGGACATTCTGATACAAGATATCATAGTAAATTTTGATTTAAAAAAAAAAAGATGGAGAAGGACTGAGTCAAATCTTTTTGCAAGCTTCATAGGAAAATGTTGGATGGCCTTTCTTCCATGATTTCTTATTTTGTTATTTAGGTGAATCTATGATTTCATCAATTTTATTTACTCTCCCCTCCAAACTCTCATCATATGTGAATGTTATCTGTGTTTTCTCTAATACTTCATAAAGAATATACCCAATGTACTAGAGGCCTTTTTTTCACTCTTTTAATGTCTCTTTATGGATAGGGACTGTATTTCATATTTCTTTATGTCCCTTAGTTTACCAGGCATGTAGCTTTGAGTA